CTTATTCCTACATGATCTGGACAATCTAAAGAAGTTGCCTTCTGGGCTCAGGCGATACACAACAACTATGCAGATACTCTTTATTATCTCAACACACCTAGGCAGAGCATGCATTACCTTATTCTCGTCAGTGTTTTTTTCAAAGTTTGATCAACCACATCTGGCACAAGAGAAACTCATAAAGGCATAAAAAATGGGTGGAATACTAACAAATAGTTTACCGGTTGTTGACAAGTCTATATGAAACCAGAATGTATCTTTCAATTATAAATTCTCTTATAAGCAATAAAGACTTTTAGGTGATGGTTCGAATATGATTCGGGGTAAGAGAAAGAGTCCAATGTTTGTTATCGTTTGCACAATTCCATTTATTCAATTTTTCCTTTTTCTAAATTGGGATCTTCTATTGTAAATAATATTGTTTGTAAGCCGATATATTTGACATTGCATCAAATAAAAAAAACATATCACATGTGTTAAAGTTTCAAACAAATGTGTTATATATAAGCTCTCTTAAGATAAAACTTAATTTATCTAGAAAAATAATGAAACATAAAAGGATAATTTCAGTAAGTTTTTAAAACATTTAATATTTTCAATCTTATAAAATTTTGTTGCTGAAAAATTATATAATAATCCTACTTAAAGTTTGCTAACTAATATTCTATAATTCTGTGGTTATTTAAATCATTCATTTATTCTTTTGGGACAAACTATTAGAATATTAATTATATGAGTTTTTAATTAAATGTTTTTAGACACAATAATTATTAAAACAACTTCGAAATATCATGTAAGAATACTTGGAATTTGGACATTTTTAAACAATAAAAATAAGGTAAAACATTTATTTTTCACAAAACTATGAATATGTTAATTTGAAGATAGTTCATAAGAAAAATTAAAGAGATCAAAAAATAGCAGCAAAAGTAATTATTTTATAAACATGCAACAATAAGTATGAACAAACTAAAAGTTTAAATACTGAAAGAGACTGATTTAACTACAAAAGTTAATTTAATATAATTTCATTATTTGTTTATCACTAGTCACAAATTATAGTTATAGATATTTTGTAGTATAACAACTTAAATTTCAGATTTAGGATCGAATAGAGGAATATTACATATTTGATTCATTTTTATACGTTGTATTGGCAATATTTAAATTTTTTATTATTTTACCCATCCTAAATCAAACACTACCACTTATTTAAATATTGAACCAACAATTGTAAATTTTAACAATTGATTTGCAAGTAGATTTATTTTCATAGATTTGCTTATATTGTATAAGAGTCGAGACAATGAGAGTTTTGCCAAAAAAAAAAGCAATTACAATGAATTATAAATATATTCGGTCATAATAACATAATCTGTAAATATTTTAAGCATTTGTATAGATTGATACACAATGAGCCCACAAATCATCTATTTTCTTCAAATATTGGGTTTCGTTTGCAATCAAGTGTGGCCTGTCTGAAATGTATTTGATAAGCGTATCGTGACACACTTTTCCTTCTTCCACAAGATCATGGCAACATGCATCAGTGATAGTTTCATTTCCAAAGACAACACTGATTATATCCAATGCACATTTAGGAGTGATTTTAAGAAGACAAGTATCCCATAATAATTTTGCTTCACCTTCTTCAACAAAGTAAACAGGAACAAACGCACACGCCAACACGAAAACAAAGAAGAAGATTGTCATTTGTGAGGTAATTTTAGCCATATCTGTTTATAGTTTAGAAACCAAAGATTTGTTATTATGGTAGAAAAATCAGTTGAGAGTACATTGTATTTGTTATTTTTAAAAAATATATGTGTAAACTATTTATAATTGATTCAAAATATAAACAGAACAATAAAAACGCATTTGTATATAAACGTCATAATTAATACAAAATAACATCTCTATAATAACTCTATTAATACTATAATTATTATTTATTACAACATAATTTAACTTAAAAGAAAAAATATCCCGTAACTTTTTAATTTCGTCGACACTTTAAATTGCATAATTTGTTATCATTGCTGGACTTGCTTTACAAAAATGTGTGTTATAGATAATAATATTTAATGCAATAATTACTCTAAACCAATTTGTATAGCGGTGTGTCTAAGATACTAAACATTTAAAACATTTTTTTAACTAAATGATTTTTCATATCTGCTTAACATACAAAGCAAAGGTATACTGGGAGAACGTGTGTTTTCCAAATGTTGAAAGATGATTGGGCATCGGCTGCTTAAAGATTCTTCTCGGATCTTTGCCTTTGTCTTGATATGGTGTCTCTTCACATTTTCGGGATCCCTTTGGGTTGACAGGATTTGAGTTTATTAGCTAAAGAAGGGATCTTATTAGGATGTGAAGGATGTCACAAAGGGTTCATGGATTTGGCCTAACTCATAAAGCTCAAGCCTACTGCCTATCTAATTCTGATTTTCAATGATCACTGGTGTGGACACTTTTTCTTTTTTTGACGACATGTTACAAGTTGGCAGGTTTATTAAGATGACCGGAGAACATGGAATATGAGGGTTCCTAGACAAGCTATGGTTTCTGATGTGCTTGTAGGCACAAGTTGGGGGTTTTTCTGGTACCAAGGAAGAGTGTATCAAGAATTGTTAACTAAGATTATCCAGCAGCCTAATTCTATTACAGCAAGAAGGGATGTTCTTCTCTGGCGGTATGAAGTAGATGACTACCGTAATAGTTAATCAGCTGCAAAGAATTGGGATCAGAACTCGATGTGCTTGTGTTCCGTAGAGCCGACTTGTATGGTTGCCAAAATCCGTCTCGAGGTATTCTTTCATATCTTGGTTAGCCATCATGAATCAACTAGCCACTAGTGTCAAAATAAGGACTTATAGCATAAAGAAATGTTTTTTTACTTTGTAAAAACGTGATTAGTCAAGAGAGAAACTTTTTTTTATTGCCTTTATTCCTACATGATCTGGACAATCTAAAAAAGTTTCCTTCTGGGCTCAGGCGATACACAACAACTATGCAGATACTCTTTATTTTCTCAACACACCTAGGTGGAGCATGCATTACCTTATTCTCGTCAGTGTTTTTTTCAAAGTTTGATCAACCACATCTGGCACAAGAGAAACTCATAAAGGCATAAAAAATGGGTGGAATACTATCAAATAGTTTACCGGTTGTTGACAAATCTATATGAAACCAGAATGTATCACTCAATTATAAATTCTCTTATAAGCATTAAAGACTTTTAGGTGATGGTTTGAATATGATTCGGGGTAAGAGAAAGAGTCCAATGTCTGTTATCGTTTGCACAATTCCATCTATTCAATTTTCCTTTTTCTAAATTTGGATCTTCTATTGTAAATAACATTGTCTGTAAAGCGATATATTTGACATTGCATCAAATAAAAAAAACATATCACATGTGTAAAATTTTCAAACAAATGTGTTATATATAAGCTCTCTTAAGATAAAACTTAATTCATCTAAGAAAATAATGAAACATAAAAGGATAATTTCAGTAAGTTTTTAAAAAATTTAATCTTTTTAATATTATAAAATTTTGTTGCTGAAAAGTTATATAATAATCCTACTTAAAGTTTGCTAACTAATATTCTATAATTCTGTGGTTATTTAAATCATTCATTTATTCTTTTGGGACAAACTATTAGAATATTATGTATATGAGTTTTTAATTAAATGCTTTTAGACACAATAATTATTAAAACAACTTAGAAATATCATGTAAGAATACTTGGAATTTGGACATTTTTAAACAATAAAAATAAGGTAAAATTCATTTTTTACAAAACTATGAGTATGTTAATTTGAAGATAGTTCATAAGAAAAATTAAAGAGATCAAAAAATAGCAGCAAAAGTAATTATTTTATAAACATGCAACAATAAATATAACCAAACTAAAAGTTTAAATACTAAAAGAGACTGATTTAACTACAAATGTCAATTTAATGCAATTTCATTATTTATATATCACTAGTCACAAATTATAGTTAAAGATATTTTGTAGTATAACAACTTAAATTTCTGATTTAGGATCGAATAGAGGAATATTACATATTTGATTCATTTTTATACATTACATTGGTAATATTTAAATTTTTGTTTATTTTACCCATCCTAAATCAAACACTACCACTTATTTAAATATTGAACAAACAATTGTAAATTTTAACAATTGATTTGCAAGTATATTTGTTTTCATAGATTTGTTTATATTGTATAAGAGTCGAGACAATGAGAGTTTTGCCAAAAAAATGCAATTACAATGAATTATAAATATATTCGGTCATAATAAAATAATCAGTAAATATTTTAAGCATTTGGAGAGATTGATACGCAATGAGCCCACAAATCATCTCTTTTCTTCAAATATTGGGTTTCGTTTGCAATCAAGTGTGGCCTGTCTGAAATGTATTTGATAAGCGTATCGTGACACACTTTTCCTTCTTCCACAAGATCATGGCAACATGCATCAGTGATAGTTTTATTTCCAAAGACAACACTGATTATATCCAATGCACATTTAGGAGTGATTTTAAGAAGACAAGTATCCCACAATAATTTTGCTTCACCTTCTTCAACAGAGTAAACAGGAACAAACGCACACAAAAACACGAAAACAAAGAAGAAGATTGTCATTTGTGAGGTAATTTTAGCCATATCTGTATATAGTTTAGAAATCAAAGATTTGTTATTATGGTAGAAAAATCAGTTGAGAGTACTTTGTATTTGTTATTTTTAAAAAAATATATGTGTAAACTATTTATAATTGATTCAAAACATAAACAGAACAATAAAAACACATTTGTATATAAACGTCATAATTAATACAAAATAACATCTCTGTAATAACTCTATTAATACTATAATTATTATTTATTACAACATAATTTAACTTAAAAGAAAAAATATCCCGTAACTTTTTAATTTCGTCGACATTTTAAATTGCATAATTTGTTATCATTGATGGACTTGCTTTACAAAAATGTGTGTTATAGATAATAATATTTAATGCATTAATTACTCTAAACCAATTTGTATAGCGGTGCGTCTAAGATACTAAACATTTAAAATATTTTTTTAACTAAATGATTTTTCATATCTGCTTAACATACAAAGCAAAGGTATACTGGGAGAACGTGTGTTTTCCAAATGTTGAAAGATGATTGGGCTTACGGCTGCTCAAAGATTCTTCTCAGATCTTTGCCTTTGTCTTGATATGGTGTCTCTTCACATTTTCGGGATCCCTTTGGGTTGACAGGATTTGAGTTTATTAGCTAAGGAAGGGATCTTATTAGGATGTGAAAGATGTTACAAAGGGTTCATGGATTTGGCCTAAACTCATAAAACTCAAGCCTACTGCCTATCTAATTTTGATTTTTAATGATCATACTGGTGTGGACACTTTTTCTTTTTTTGACGACATGTTACAAGTTGGCAGGTTTATTAAAATGACCGGAGAACATGGAATATGAGGGTTCCTAGACAAGCTATGGTTTCTGATGTGCTTGTAGGCACAAGTTGGGGGTTTTTCTGGTTCCAAGGAAGAGTGTATCAGGAATTGTTAACTAAGATTATCCAGCGCCTAATTCTATTACAGCAAGAAGGGATGTTCTTCTCTGGCGGTATGAAGTAGATGACTACCGTAATAGTTAATCAGCTGCAAAGAATTGGGATCAGAACTCGATGTGCTTGTGTTCCGTAGAGCCGACTTGTATGGTTGCCAAAATCCGTCTCGAGGTATTCTTTCATATCTTTGTTAGCCATCATGAATCAACTAGCCACTAGTGTCAAAATGAGGACTTATAGCATAAAGAAATGTTTTTTTACTTTGTAAAAACCTGATTAGTCAAGAGAGCACCTTTTTTTTATTGCCCTTATTCCTACATGATCTGGACAATCTAAAGAAGTTGCCTTCTGGGTACAGGCGATACACAACAACTATGCAGATACTCTTTATTATCTCAACACACCTAGGCGGAGCATGCATTACCTTATTCTCGTCACTGTTTTTTTCAAAGTTTGATCAACCACATCTGGCACAAGAGAAACTCATAAAGACATAAAAATGGGTGGAATACTAACAAATAGTTTACCGGTTGTTGACAAATCTATATGAAACCAGAATGTATCACCCAATTATAAATTCTCTTATAAGCAATAAAGACTTTTAGGTGATGGTTCGAATATGATTCGGGGTAAGAGAAAGAGTCCAATGTCTGTTATCGTTTGCACAATTCCATTTATTCAATTTTTCCTTTTTCTAAATTTGGATCTTCTATTGTAAATAACATTGTCTGTAAACCGATATATTTGACATCGCATCAAATAAAAAAAACATATCACATGTGTAAAATAACAAATGTGTTATATATAAGCTCTCTTAAGATAAAACTTAATTCATCTAAGAAAATAATGAAACATAAAAGGATAATTTCAGTAAGTTTTTAAAAAATTTAATATTTTCAATATTATAAAATTTTGTTGCTGAAAAATTATATAATAATCCTACTTAAAGTTTGTTAACTAATATTCTATAATTTTGTGGTTATTTAAATCATTCATTTCTTCGTTTGGGACAAACTATTAGAATATTATGTATATGAGTTTTTAATTAAATGCTTTTAGACACAATAATTATTAAAACAACTTAGAAATATCATGTAAGAATACTTGGAATTTGGACATTTTTAATCAATAAAAATAAGGTAAAACATTCATTTTTAACAAAACTATGAGTATGTTAATTTGAAGATAGTTCATAAGAAAAATTAAACAGATCAAAAAAATAGCAGCAAAAGTAATTATTTTATAAACATGCAACAATAAAAATGACCAAACTAAAAGTTTAAATACTGAAAGAGACTGATTTAACTACAAAATTCAATTTAATGCAATTTTATTATTTGTTTATCACTAGTCACAAATTATAGTTATAGATATTTTATAATATAACAACTTAAATTTCAGATTTAGGATCGAATAGAGGAATATTACATATTTGATTCATTTTTATATATTACATTGGCAATATTTAAATTTTTGATTATTTTACCCATCCTGAATCAAACACTACCACTTATTTAAATATTGAACAAACAATTGTAAATTTTAACAATTGATTTGCAAGTAGATTTATTTTCATAGATTTGTTTATATTGTATAAGAGTCGAGACAATGAGAGTTTTGCCAAAAAATGTAATTACAATGAATTATAAATATATTCGGTCATAATAACATAATCAGTAAATATTTTAAGCATTTGGAGAGATTGATACACAATGAGCCCACAAATCATCTCTTTTCTTCAAATATTATTTTTCGTTTGCAATCAAGTGCGGCCTGTCTGAAATGTATTTGATAAGCGTATCGTGACACAATTTTCCTTTTTCCACAAGATCATGGCAACATGCATCAATTATAGTTTCATTTCCAAAGACAACACTGACTATATCCAATGCACATTTAGGAGTGATTTTAAGAAGACAAGTATCCCACAATAATTTTGCTTCACCTTCTTCAACAGAGTAAACAGGAACAAACGCACACACCAATTTGTGAGGTAATTTTAGCCATATCTGTTTATAGTTTAGAAATCAAAGATTTGTTATTATGGTAGAAAAATCAGTTGAGAGTACTTTGTATTTGTTATTTTTAAAAAATATATGTGTAAACTATTTATAATTGATTCAAAACATAAACATAACAATAAAAACGCATTTGTATATAAACGCCATAATTAATACAAAATAACTTCTCAGTAATAACTATTAATACTATAATTATTATTTATTACAACATCATTTAACTCAAAAGAAAAAATATCCCGTAAATTTTGAATTTCGTCGACACTTTAAATTGCATAATCTGTTATTATTGCCGGACTTGCTTTACAAAAATGTGTGTTATAGATAATAATATATAATGCATGAATTACTCTAAACCAATTTGTATAGTGGTATGTTTAAGATACTAAACATTTAAAACATTGTTTTAACTAAATAATTTTGCATATCTGCTTAACATACAAAGCAAAGATATATTGGGAGAACGTGTGTTTTCCAAATGTTGAAGGATGATTGTGCTTACGGCTGCTCAAAGATTCTTTTTGGATCTTTGCCTTTGGCTTGATATGGCGGCTCTTCACATTTTCGGGATCCCTTTGGGTTGAAAGGATTTTAGTTTATTAGCTAAAGAATGGATCTTATTAGGATGTAAAGGATGTCGCAAAGGGTTCATGGATTTGGCCTAAACTCATAAAGCTCAGGCCTAATGCCTATCTGGTTCTGATTTTTAATGTTCATATTGGTGTGGACACTTTTTTCTTGTTTGACGATATGTTACAAGTTGGCAAGTTGATAAACATGACCGGAGAACATGGAATATGAGGGTTCCTAGACAAGTTAAGGTTTTTGATGTGCTCGTAGGCACAACTTGGGGTTTTTACCGGTTCCGAGGAAGAGTGTATCAAGAATTGTTAACTAAGATTCTCCAGCAGCCTATTTCTATTATAGAAAGAAGGGATGTTCTTCTATGGCGGGATGAAGCAAATGGCTACCGTAATAGTTAATCAGCTATAAAGAATTAGGATCAGAACTTGCTGTGCTTGTGTTCCATAGAGCCGACTCGTATGGTTGTCAAAAGCCGTCTCGAGGTATTCTTTCATATCTTGGTTAGCCATCATGAATCAACTAGCCACTAGTGTCAAAATGAGGACTTATAGCATAAAGCAATGTTTTTTTACTTTGTAAAATCGTGATTAGTCAAGAGAGCATTTTTTTTTATTGCCCTTATTCCTACAGGATCCAGATAATCTAAAGAAGTCGGCTTCTGGGCTCAGGTCATACACAACAACTATGCAGATACTCTTTATTATCTCAACACATCTAGGCGGAGCGTGCATTACCTTATTCTCCTCACACTGTTTATTCAAAGTTCGATCAACCAGATCTGGCACAAGAGAAACTCATGAAGGCATAAAATAGGGTGCAATACTAACAAACAGTTCTACCGATTGTTGACAAATCTATATGAAACCGGAATGTATCACTCATTTACAAATTTTCTCAAAAGCTGAAAAGACTTTTTAGGAGATGGTTTGAATATGGTTCAGCGTAAGAGAAAGAGTCCAACGTCTGTTATTGTTTACACAATTCCATTTATTATTTTTTCTTTTTTCTAAATTGGGATCTTCTATTGTAAATAACATTGTCTATTAAGCGATATATTTAAACATTGCATCAAATAAAAAAATATATCACATGTGTAAAAATTTCAAACAAATGTGTTATATATAAGCTCTCTTAAGATAAAATTTAATTCAACAGAAAAAATAATGAAACATAAATGGATAGTTTCAGTTAGTTTTTAAAACTTTTAATTTTTTCATTCTTATAATATTTGGTTGCTGAAAATTATGTAATAATCCTACTTACAGTTTGCTTACTAATATTTAATAATTCTGTAATTATTTAAATCATTCATTTATATTTTTGAGATTGGTGTTCAGAATTGCGCAGAAAATATACAAGTCAATCTATTAGAATATTAAGTATATTAGTGTTTATCTAAAAGATTTTAGTCATAATCCTTACTACTATTTGACAAGCAGCTTTAATGAAAAAAGTCTATCTCTTGCAACCAAAAAGAAAAGTTACTATAAATTAATGATTATTTAGAAATATGACATGAAATTTTTTTTTAAATAAACAAAATATTTTTATTGGTTAAGCTAAAACTAAATAAATCTCATTTTTAAATAAGAAAAAAATAGTTAATTATCATATATGAATGCATTATCAATATATAGTAAGAATTCGAAATTATATAAAAAAAAATAAACGGTTAGAAAAATAAATTATAAGTATTCTCTTAGCAAACTTTTTTTTATAATACTGTATATATTAATAAAAGGTACAAATAAAAGTATAAATGAATCTTTACAACTTTGATTTTTTGTAAAAATCTAAAGCTATATTTTTGGTTTAAAGTATCTCCAACCCATCTTTATTTTAAATTTTCTAATTTAGAGAAAAAATAGAAGTGTTGTTTTTTCCTCTATAATTAGAGGAAAAGTAACAATCTTTCTTTTTCCTGTAAAATAAAAAATACATTAGAGATCATCTTGATGTATGATATATTATTCAAGTTTAAGAAAAAAATACGAGTCAAAGAAGACAAAAAAAATAAAAAAATAATAATTTGATCGATTTCATGTTTTTTAAAATATTTAAAAATATTATCTTCACATATTAATTTTTTCATGCATATACTATTTCCAACATATTAAAACATTGTTTCATGAATCAATTGTTGTCTATGTTGTGGTCTATTATATTTTATATTAACAAATATATCAAAGTTATGAACAGAAGAACTCTTAATTTTTAATATTACTGTCAAATATTAAATATATTATTTTACACCTTAAGTTATACACATATAAGTTTAAATCTGACTGGTTTAAACGCTGCGGTAATGGAGAGTTTATGGAAGCGAGCGATTACGGGTTATAAAAATTTTGACAAAGAGATGAGCGGAGAGCTATCGGAAAATATTATAAAATATGATTTCACAAATTTTATAATAAATGTTTATTATATTTTTTTATTGAGAAACCATATATCATAAAACGCTGAAAAATAAGAAATTTTGATTAAATACAAAACGATAGAAATAATTTTTGTGATCGTTGTTAAACGCCAAAAACTGCATCGTGTAAAAACATAAGGTTTACGAAAAATATAAGAAAAACTAACCAACACCTAAATATTACAATTCACTTATTTCTAACTCATACCTACATGCATAAATATACGTAATATTTAAAAAAAAAATTCACCATACATTATAAAAATATATATTAGAAAGCATATACTTTGTTATTTTTTTTAACACATAAAAGTCATACTTCTATTTTTCACAAATTTGGGTATAGATATAAATATTAATTATACAAAAATCAAAGTCGCGTGCGAACTTGTCGTGCATACATTTTGTTAGTCTTGATTAAAATCTAGTTTTAATTTTAGTTATTAGACAATTTATATTTTTTTTTAAAAATCTCTATATGTCCTCAGAGCGGTGAGGTGGTTAATACGCATGAATATGCTGACCAACTATCTATTTGCTCTTAGGATAAGTAAATATAGTAAAACCCATTTTTTTAATTCGACCTAGGTGATCGGCCCACATTCAACTTTCGATAAGTAAAAGTATCATCTCTTAGGATAAGTAAAGATGGTAAAACTCATTTTTGTTTAATTAGCAACTAGGATCTAACAAGCGCGTCCGCGCAAGTAATTTTTTTTTATAATTTAATTTTAAAAATGTTGGTTTTATAAATATAATATTAAAATATAATTTTATTGTTCTACAACATTGTAATCAAAATAGTTAATCTACAAATAATGCTAAGATGTTATAAAATATGATTAATTATATTTTTGTTAATCGTATTTATGTTTTTTAGTCAAAAAAATATACAATAAAAGTGTGTTTGATTTTTAATAAGAAGATAATATATAAATATTTTTCTTCTTTTTTTTATTCGTTATTATTCTTTTGTTGTTGTTCTTCGTCTTTTTCTAAATCTTTATTATTGTTCTTTTTCTTTTTCTCTTCTTCATCTTCTTTTTTTTTTATTTTTTTATTTTTCTTTTAAGTTCTTCTTGTACGTTATTTTTTTTATTCTTCCTCTCTTATTATTTTTAATAATTTTATTTTCTGTTTTTTCCCTCTTTTTCTCTATTATTTTTTTATTCCTTTTCTCCTTATTTTTTATTTTCGTTCTTTTTCTGTAATTTTTCTTCTTCATTTTGTTTGTTTTTTATTTCGATTTTCTATATTTTTTTTTCTCTTTTCTTCTCGTTTTTCATTTTTTCTTCTTCTTCTCTAATATTATTCTTTATTTTATTTTTCTTTAAATTTAGCAAAACAAAATTGAAGTGGAAATTTTTTATATTAAATAATTAATATTATATAAATAATTGCTAGCCTAACATATTTCAGGGTTTTTCGGTAAAATAAAATTTAGACTAAAAATATTACTTTTTAATTTTCTTTGGCATTTTCTATATATCTTTTTATAAAATTCGAATTAAAAACAAAGAAAATAAGATATTTTTAAATTTTTAAACAAAAATGGACCTTTTAATAATAAGAAAAATAAAATATTGGGCCCATAATGAGAAAAGTAACAAAAAATAGGTCTTTGATAATTTAATGAGAAGAATATATTTAATAAATTTTTATATAACTAATGTAAGTCCAATGGCATATTAGGTAAATAACACATCAAATAAAAGTTAGTCTTCTAAATGGGATCCTCTTTTAATATAACTAGGATCTAACATGCGCACACACGCAGGTAAATTTTCTATTTATAATTTAATTTTAAAATGTTAGTTTTATAAATTTAATTTGAAAATTTAATTTTATTGTTCTATAACATTGTAATCAAAATAATTAATCTACAAATAATGTTAAGATGTTATAAAATATAATTAATTATCTTTTTGTTAATCATATTCATGTTTTTTAGTCAAAAAATTATATTATAAAAATGTGTTTGATTTTTAATAAAAAGATAATATATTAATATTTTTCTTCTTCTTTATCTTATTTGTTATTATTCTTTTGTTGTTGTTTTTCGCCTTTTTTAAAATTTTTATTAATGTTTTTCTTTTTTTTTCTCTTCTTCATCTTCTTTTTATTTTATTTTTTAAGTTCTTCTTGTATGATATCCTTTTTCATTATTCCTCTCTTCTTATCTTTAATGATTTTTTTTTCCTATTTTTTTCCTATTTTTCTTTTCTATTATTTTTTTTATTCTTCCTTATTTTCTATTTTTGTTCTTTCTTTCTGTAATTTTTTGTGCTTATCCGTTTTGTTTGTTTGATAATTTCAATTTTTCTATGTTTTTTTTTTCTCTTTTCTTCTCCTTTTTCATTTTTTTCTTTTCTAATCCTATTCTTTATTTTATTTTTCTTCAAAGTTAGCAAAACAAAATTTAAATTTAAATTTCTTATATTAAGTAATTAATATTATATAAATAATTGTTGATCTAACATATTTTAAGATTTTTTGGTAAAATAAAATTTAGACTCTAAAATATTATTTTTTAATTTTGTTTTGTAATTTCTATATACATTTTTATAAATTTCGAATTAAAAACAAAGAAAATAAAATGGTCCACAAATTTTAAACAAAAATGGGCTTTTTAATAAGAAGAAAAATAAAATATTAGGCCCATAATGAGAAAAGTAACAAAAAATTAAACCTTTGATAATTTAATGAGAATAATAAAATTATTAAATTTTTATATAACTAATGGAAATCCAATGGCATACTAAGTAAATAACACATAAAGTAAAGGTTTAGTCTTCTA